TGTTGCTTTAAACTGTGTGCTTTATGATGGGCTTTGATTCTGTTGGGAACCGAGCCAAAAACAGATTGTAGCTTTTAATTTGACCAAGTCACTGTGTGTGTGTGTGTTGCCTGTATGATTTAGTCGTGGTGAAGAAAACCAGCTGCTTCTGTTGGACTGTAGCCAAACACTCAGGGAATAGATGGTCCAAGAGTCCAGACATGTCAGGATCGTCCACTGACCGCGGTCCTAAAGTCCCCAAACTGCTGGTCAGTTCTGCCTCATGTCAATGGATAAACACTAGGGGTCACTAAAAACGTTTCATACACAGGTGTGGACAAGTCTGATGAGGTTTGACGGTGATAGACATCATTTGATGTTACCTTGTTGTGTTAATAACCCTGTGTTTGTGGTGATACTGGAGAAACCAATCAACGGTTTATATTTGATGTCGTAGCATCTTTTGTTCTTTGTTTAAGTTATCATTTTTGGCTAACTAAGTTGGAGCTAAAGTTTTGGGGTTTTTTTGGTTCATGTTGTGGTGATTCTGTGAAGAACTTTAAGATGTCAAACATCAAACTTTCCATTCATTTTGGCCTCAGCTGTCAGATAAGGAACTACTGAGCTGCAGGAGACTAAATGGCAACCCAGCCAAGACTAACTACAGTTTTTCCACTGTAATAGTTGACTGAGTGGTGTTTTACCTTAAGCTACAGATTGTTGCATTGAAGTTAAATAAATTAAAAATATTGCCAAACCAAATACACCTTTTACTCACGTGAACCTTTTATATTTTTTATTTTAAGGAAAATTGAGTTGAGTTTCAGGTAATGAAAAAATACAAATTCTGATTTGATCACAGAACCATCTGGACGGTCCAACTTTTAGAAACCGTGGCAGACCTACAGCTACAGCAATCAGACGGTGATTACGACTATTTTTTAACAACCCCCACAGGAGTAATGAGGGGGTAATTATTTATCAAAACAAAACATTCAAAACATCAATTCTCTTCATTTGCTTTTAATTAAAACTTAATTTCTGCTTCTTTTTTTCCCCCATTTATTTTGAGACAGTTATTTTGTTACTTATTATTGCGAAACAAGACAAAGTGACAAACATTAAATACTCAGAAACAGAGACACGGTCCATCGTCTCCTGTGTCAAAAATATGTTTTCTAATAACTAGTTGCTAATGTGAATATTTAATCATAGGTTTGTATATTTTTAAACGTAGGAGTAAACCACTGATACATCAGGTAATGTAATGTTTGGATTTTATACTAAACCATTAAACATAAAACCCTTCTGTCTGTCCTCCGTTATATTCAGTCTTTTCTGTCCGCCCAGCCCTCCCTCAAAAAAAAAAAAAAAAAACTATCACTGAGTCATGTGAAACTAATTGACCTCTGGAAGAAAAGTTCTGAAAGTTCTGTTTTTGTTTTGATGAAGTGAAACATAAATGATCGACAGATGGTTTGGTAACGACGGAGACGTTCAGTCAGGTGACCAAGATATCAATACTTTGACATCATTGGTTGTGTTCATTTATAATCATAACTCACACGCACACACACACACTTCAGCAGCTCATAGTCACACAGCTCAGCTACAGGTCAGCGACCTCTGCCAGTGTGAAGACAGTCGTCATGGTCGTACGTGGTCGTGATCGTTGTCCTGACTGTGACTTATGGACTCTTTAAAATTATTTTCTATGAAAAAATCCTGTTTTTTTTTATCGTCCTGTTTATCGTTTGTATCAAATATCCATCAGAGTTTGACACACGAACCTCGTGTTAACATGAAGTTGAATTCCATTTGTAATCAATCACGGCCCAGTTGGAGGCTTGACCATCTGTGGCTGACCATCTGTCACATTAATGACCATTAATTAAACAGAATCTTCAGAGTTCTTACAGAACAAACAGACGGTGTTTGTACTTCGTCATCAGATTCATTACTGAAAGGTTAGTTTAATTAGGCGTCATCAGTGGATCAATCATTACTGGTTATGGTAACGATTGATCGTGTTTAGATTATTATTCACAGAAGGATCATGGTAATAATTAGAATATCATGAATTAAAAACAACTAAGAGAGATTGACTAATGGTCTGTTGATGAACTAGGTATGATTAATTAGTCAAAAGAGTCTTTATTATTATTATTTATTTTTATTTTTTTTCTGCTTTTGTGGTTTGATTCTGATCGTCCTCTTCAGTGGACAGTGGGGCTGCAGGTGATCGTCCTCATCAGTGGACAGTGGGGCTGCAGCAGGGTCCTCGTGGCTGCAGTTTCTTCTTTAGGGGCAGGAATGTAAATCCGGGGGGGATTAGTGAGACCACACTGAGCTGGGAAGCCCTCAGTAGCTGTCTGAAGTCTAAGTGCTCTCTGCTCTGCCTCAGTGCGTAAAGTTGGGACGGCGCAGTGGATGCGCGGCACTCTCCATTCTGCGGCACTCCACGCGTCACCGCTGCGGGATCCCTGACCGGGGGAGCTGTGATGCTTTGACGGGTCCTGTCACGGGTCAATGACAGAGGAAAATATTGACGTTTTGTTGGTGTGACGGCGTTTTGTCCAGGACTGATCGCGTTTCCGGCTGCGCAGTGGGGACATGGATCAGCTTTATGGAGCGACTCTTTTACCGTTTGGCGCCCTGTGCCTGGTGTTCCTGTGGGAGTCCGCTGCCAGCTCCATCAGGACG